ATTTAAGGGCATTGATAATTTAAGTGTCACACTGGTCTTGTTTTACTTTAAAGCTTCATCATTTCTGTGGAATTGTAGCAAATCAACATTGATCAACTAGAAACAGGACTCACCAAACTCGACATTTGAAAGTTAAAAAAGGAGCTTTAAGTGACTGACATTAACCAAAATGGCTTTAACCTTTGTGAAAATGTTGCTCCTGCAGGTTTTTACTAAGCAGCTTCCTAAAAACAACACGCAGTCTGATCAAAAGGTGACATTGATGGACTCTGCTCACCGGGAACTTAAAATACTCCCTCTTCCGTTCAGCTGTCCTCAGGTAACCCTTACAGCTGCAAGCAAAACATCAACCAGTTTTTCAGTCTCCAACAAACCAAGTCATAGATGAAGCTTTGAAAATTCAACAAGAACAGATATGAATACAGACAAAAGACCAGGAATAAATCAGTTAGGTTCGTAGTGACAGCAGAGGGTAGCTGAGCAGCTGCTTCCAAAAAAATGTATATACTTCCTGTAAACATTTTCTACCCAGTCCTCATATAAAATCTCTGGATCCTCAGTGGTTTGACACATCATATGTCATATGCAAAGTTTCCATTTCACCTAATGCAATACTTCTGGTCACCTTTCCTTGTGTTCATGTTCTTAGATGTGTGAAGGCCAAAGAAAAACAGCTTCTGTGATGTCAGAGTTTTGATTAGACTCATAAAATCAGTGATAAGTCTTTTGCAAAATGAATGAAGTGACTTTTAACATTATTAGTGGATTTCTTGAATTAATGACTTATAGAATGAGCTGAAGGTGTATATGTCAGAATTACCAGTTATCAGATAAGCCTAGTAACCAAAGCTTAAACAAGTTTAGAACACTCTTTGCAATGATTTTCAACAATAATAAAGATAATAATAAAGATATAGATGGAAATAAATATATAAACGCATTGTATGGTTGAAGTCGTCAAGCAGAGTCTTGTACATCGTGTATTCTAGGGTTTCTTATTTAAGTCATGGGAAACAACTTCTCCTGGGTCAGTGAGGTCAAGGGGCATCTGTGAAATAATCCACTTGCTGATGTTCACACCCCACTATTAGTAGATACTGGAATGATAATAGCTCAGAAACACAAAGGAGCTCTCTCCCCCACCTTCCCCTTTCCCACTGCATCCACTTTACTCTGTGCATTCCCTTCCTAAGCCCTTTTTTTCCTGTTTTCCCTCTGAAAGCCTTCTGCCATATTTGAAAGTAACTGCTTTAAATATGAAAAGAAATGAGACATGACATTTTGTTGAATATTGAGACAAAATGACTCTTTTGATTATTGCCATGTTGTTACCTGTGAACTGCTTGAACTGCCCTCAGTAAATCCAAAAGCACAAAATAATGCTTTAAACATAGTTAATGTATCAAGTATCTTATTGAAAAACATGAAATAACACTTTGTGCTTTCATACTTTGCCCTTGTCTTGTCAAGTTTCTGTTTCAAATTTGTTTTCTCATTGAGAGGATGCACATGAGAAAGGTGAGTCCAAACAGCACAAGATTTTAAACTTTTATGGCATGACGGGGTTTTCCTGTCACAGAGTAAACTGTGTGTCGTGGAGGACTACACTTGTGTGACTGGTCAGTTGGTTCTGATCAGACCCTCTAAACTTTAAAAGAAAAATATTACTAAAGATGAAGAGATGATGTGTCAGCTGGCTTCTTCAAGCCATGACCTTCTGCACATACTATACCGGTTTATAGCTGGATATGAAGCAGCCTGGGTCTTCCAAATACGAGGCCGTGGTAGTTATCCAGACCGAGGTGGTGGGATGGTTCTCCACCTCAGATGGAAGAGTTTAAATATCCTAGTGTCACACTGGACCAAGAGCTGTGCAGCAGACTGGGCTTCATCAGCAGAAGTCAAACCACAGGTCCTGTTGGCTTTGGTAAAGATGAGCATTTCAAAATGGACAAACTGGACTTTAATGATGAACGGAAGGTGCTTTTTCATCAGTACTCACATCAGAAGGACTATATGTATATTCTGTTCTCGCCTTCCAAGTGATTCAAATCCATGTTTGAGAAAGAAGTCACTGTTTTTTGGGGGGGTTTTTTCAGTCGAAATTCAATCCTGATTAAAATCTCATGGAATATCTCTACTGAGCACTGAAACAAGTTATAGGCGGTAGAAATATGATTTGGATGAATAAAACCTCCCACATTTGGCAAAATGCTGTGAACCCATCATTTTCTCTAAAGTTTGTGAAAAACTCTGGAATGTGTTTTTATATATTGCAATTTTGGTCCATTTTATGTTTTTTTTTTCCCTTCTCTTTTTCATTTTAGGTCTCTATAAGACTTCAAAATAGGTTAACTGCGGAGACTTTTAAGAATGAAACAGCCTCAATTTAAAAAACTGAGGGAAGAATAAGATTTCCGACAGTGGACACGTAAGCAGAGTTGTAATTGAGAGCAATCAGAGCATCAGACTGGGTCGGGTTTTATTGCCGACCCAGCTAACCACCCTCTGGGACAAACAGGAAGCCATTTATCCTGGGCCAAGTTTCCCTACAGCTTTCTTACTGCAGCTCCATGACTGTCTTTGTTCTTTTGTGAGCCGAGAGACAATGAAGATTTTTGGATTAAATAGATTTTTGGAGACTGAGCTCAGACCCGTTACATAAGTGATGACAGCAATCCAATTTAGTTGTAATGGTCTCACAAGATGATTGGCTTCTCGTCAGGCATTACGGCAAGGCGTGAATTTGGCCCCCTTTTACAAAAGTAATCAAAACCAGGGAAATTAAAATTGAGATGAGCAGGAACTACTCAAAGAAATCTCAATGACCTTCATCTGACCAGCCACTCAGTCATCTTCATTTCCTTTAAAGGCAGACCTTTAATTTGATGTGTCCCTTTTGTGAGTTTGTGTTTCGGTCCTTCACAATGACAGGACCTTTTTTATCCTTCAAAAACACCTCTCACTCTGGATGAACTAATTTTTAACTTCCCCAGTAGATCAAGCTTTATAGGCACCAGATAAATGGAAATACACATTTTTTCCCATGTTGACCTCTGGTTTCTAGTACACAGACACTTTTTTTGGATAATTTAAGTAACACTTTGAATCTTCTAAACTCGATCTTTAAAGAGTAATTCAAAGGGACCCAAATCCAGGAAAGAAAACAAAATATTTATGGAAAGTTTCCAAGTTTGTGTTTCAGAGTTATCTTCAAAATTGACCCAGTAATTATTTTTCTCATAAATCAACACTGGACCCCACAATGGGCAAAATAAAATGGATAACTGGGGTGGGTAATAAAAGAAGAACTCAATTAAATTGCTCTTCACTGAGGAAATGGTGAAAGATCCAGTAACAGGAAAGAAGGTTTGGGAATACTGTCTGAGGATCCTCATTCTTCTGTAGTTGTTCAAGCTTGAACAAGGTGAGTCACTTTTGAAAAATTTGTGGAGTATGAGCAAGAATAAGGAAACAGAGTCTGACCCCAAATAAACCCTGTGATCACATGAAACAGAGGAAAAGAAAAAGCAAGCTAAAAATACAGCTCACAAATACAATGTGAGGATTGTAACACTCGGAGTGCTGCAACACCTTGACAAGAAACTGGAAGCAAGTTGGGAAACCAAGAAAACCAGTGAATTTATAAAGCACGAAGAGTGAGTGTTGACAAAAAGAGCACAAGGGAAAGCTAGAAAAAGGGCAAAAACAAAACAAACAGAATTTTTCACAATAGTACAGAAAAAAATTAATCAAAAAACCAAAACAGAGACATTCTGCTGTGTTTAGTCTCTGTGGGTTTTTCCTGAGGTCTTCCATGTTTCCCTGTAGAAAAATAATGTCTACATCAGAGATATTAGATATTGATAGATCCATCTATCAATATTTGCCTTTTTCTCTGCAACATTAGTCTTATCAGTCACTGAGGATAATTCTAAAATATCTAAAAGGATCCATAATTAATGCACTGTTTATGTTTCACAAATTGAATTCTTGTATTTACAAAGATATGGAATAATAAATCAAAATGTGAATTGGCCCGAGCAACATTTTGACTTTCAGTTTGTTCAACAATGTGTGGTTCAGGTTTTTCACTTCCTGTGAATTTGTACAGTTTATTGTGAGTTTCCTCCTCTGCATAAAGGTGATAAATATGAGAAATGCAACCTGTACACACTGTTCCACAAAAGACATTTTGACATTTGATTGTGCAAAACTATATTCCCCAGAAACACAGGGTATTCACAATGATGTATTATTTAGGCAGCGATCAGCAACAGAGTTTCAAATAAACATCCAAAGTGGTGAAACAAATGTGAATACATTAAAACTTCTGATGCATGCAAAAGGAACCTGCTGCGTTAAGGCTGTGGTGGTGGACTTTTTCTCCCAGTTTTGAGGTACCTAAGCTATTTTACTAACCGGGGACGGTTTAACTGCAGACAAACCCACCGAGATGAGTTGCAGTTTTTTGCTATTCCAGAAGGTGGCACTAAGAACACAACCCACTGTAGAATCATTTAGAACTGGTTTCCATTTGTTCACTTTGGAGTTCTACTTTTTCCTCTGAATTTATGTAACTTCCTACTTTTTAAAAATGAATTTTGGATTCATACTGCTAAACTTAACTCATATAATCTCCCTGGCTGTACTTGAAGACTCCTCGTTTCTTTCTATAGAGTTAGACACATGTCTTCAAGGACAACACTCTCTCACACACACTTCTCATCACATATCAGAATATTCTGCATGCATTAAGACCTGCCCTGTTTCTGTCAGAGGTAACTGTCCAGTGAGACTCGGTTTACTTATGTCCAGCCTTTCTACTGTACAGGAAGGGGCCCAGAGCCAGAAGATCCCCGTCCATTACTCCCAGTAATGGCTGATGGAGAACCTCAGGGAACTTTGTCAGTTTGAGTCCAGCATTGCATTATTTTACCTGTGACCTGGATTAATTACACATTTCTACTCTCAATTATCAGACTTAAAAAAAAAAATCAACAAATCTTATTACACAATACTGATACAATCCTTACTGATGCTGCATCATACACAGTTAGCCACGTTAAACAGAGTGAAACTAGAAAAATAGTTTCATGTCATATAATTTAAAAGTTCCTCGGAGAAATAGTTGTAGACTGGGAAATTTAAAAACAACAATAACAAAAACAAAACAAACAGCTGGTCCACTGCCTAACAGGGAACTTCCTTGATGTAATGTCAAAGTGACATTACTTTTTTTATCACTATATTTAGAGAAAAAAATGGATGGTGCACCAGATGTTTGTTTTTTGTTTAACACAATAAACTTTCACAAACAGCTTTCTAAAAGGTGAATAAAAAGCAAAAAAAAGTATAAATTGACTAAAATTCTAATTGTTACAGATCATCAGTTCATTAATGGAGAAAAATGTCAAAATTTTGATAGGATAATCAACAATACTTCAGATATATGTTCATATTAATAAACACATCAGAGTATTTTGTAAAATATATTGGCCAAAAAATAATACCTCCAAACGATACCAACATTCCAAAGTCAGAGATTTAACAAAAGGGAATGAAATGATTAAAGACCTCCGGTCAGTCAGTCTTCCTAACTCAATGGAACCAATCCTCTCACTGACACTCTACAAAAATGAGCCTCAAATATTTTGAGTTAAAAAAAGGTGAGAAAGATCATTTCTCAGGCGTGGTCACCTGATAAAGTAAATAACTCCCCCCCTTGTCCTTAACAGCATCACATTACTCCAACACATTAAGTAGCTCTCCTTTCTTCTTAAAATGTTGACGGAAGAATTACTTCTATGTTTGTGCTGAACCTTGATTAATCCAAAGGTCTTTGAAACCAGCTAAAAAGTTCTGCAGTGCTACGAGTAGATGGTGATGACCTCCCGACCTCCTCCTCGAACCAGCAGAACCCGATCCAAGCCTTCCATTAAAACCTCCAGGAACTCCATATCTGAGAGAAAAATAATAGTTAAGAAGCATGTTGTGCACCATAGCTGGCTCCTTTACAAATACCACATTACACTGTGAACTCAGATCACTAGCACCAGCCGAATGCATGCTTTCCTATATGAACAATGGAACATATGAGTGGGGAAATTTTTAGTCAGCATTGTAAAACAAAAGGTCTGTTCTCTCAAAAAAACATGGAAAAAGTTGGAGGTGCCAGTTGACAGACGATGTTCAGGAGTAATATTCTTCTAACTCTTGGCAAAACAGTGCATCAACAAAATGAATAAATAATTTGCACCCTTATTTGAAAATGACCAAATTTCTTGAAGTGACAAGCCAAAAGAATATTCCCAAATAAACCACATGACATTTCTTGCATTGAAAAAGGATACAGTTCTCGTCTCCCTTCTTGCTGTTTGGTGGACCGGGCATGTTGAGCAGGACCAGCTGTGAATTGTGGGATTTCTTTACCACCACCTCATTCAGCTTCACAGCTGTGTGCATCCTCCGCACATTGGACTGGTTGCTACATTAAAACAGAAACAATAACGTATAAGTGTAGACATTGGAAAACCCAAATAATGCAATGTGTCACAGATGCAACCATTGTAAAATATGAGCGTAAATCAGCTTATATGAGGACAGGATCTGATTATCTTGCATGCAAGTGCAGATACATGGACTTCTGATACTATTCGACATGCAACATGCAACCTATGCACATGCACTCAGCCAAAGCAAGCTGCTTTAACACTGCTGTGTGAACAGAAAGGATTTTCAAAAACATGTATAAAGTGAAATATGAAGCAACTTACAGATTCTCCCACTCACTGGAGGAAGGGAACAAAAACGACATATCCAACATTAATAACCAAATAAGAGCTCTGCTTATTTACACTATCATGGCCATTTTAAATGTATATTTAAACTGATGTAAAAAGAAAAAGAAAGGGAGGTGGTACAAGAAAAATATCATATGTAAATACTGCACGGATGACCTCGCAAAAGAAAGTAAATGTTGTTTTGGTGAAGACTTACTGAAAATTATGGTAACGTCTACTGTGTGTTGTGTACATTTACATGTATTCACCAGCTTGTTTAGTACAGGTACCAACCAATGGTTGGACTGAAAAGCATAAACTCAGGTTTTACATGTAAAACACTGTTTAGAAATATAATAAATTGGGCTACCAATCATGACAAAACCACTGCCTGTGCTATTAACTTAAATGAATAAGGTATGATCATCGTAGCTCAATTAAATTTGATAAATAGCACTTCGCTAGTATAGAAAAAAAGAAACCAACTACAAGATCTCTTTTGGTCTACTTACGGTTTCATATTAAACATATCCTTTACAGGAATTCCTTCTCTGTGTTTGTTCCTTTCATTGAGCAGTTTGTCTTTGGTCCAGGTCATGTGGACGCGGTCTGGAGTGGCACCTTCCTCTTTGTCGTTGGATGCTGAATGAGATGCTGTGTTCCGGTCGTGGATCAACTGGGCCTGAAAGAAAGACCGGAGCAGGTTGGCCAAGGCTTAAGCATCATTTATTCAGGCATCAGATAATTTGGATTTGGACTTTATAGAGAAATGAATGTTAACTGGTTGTTATGAGAGTAGTCATATGAGGACAGAGATCATGATGATGAAATAACATGCACATGCCACTATTAGCCATTTCATAGCTAAAGCGTGGGGCTTCATGCTACATTTAAACACAGTGTAGTCATATTCTAGTGCCTTTTGTTGTCTATGTTTAAATCTTTTTTGCTTGACAGCATTTCTATTGCCGGAATCCACTTATTTTGTGGGTTACTGACAGATGTTAAGAGAAAATTCTGTTGGTGTTCATTCAGTGTCAGCAAGCAATGACACGTAACATTTAATAGTCATTAAAGAATAACTAAAAAACAATTTCTGTCCACTTCAATAATCCACTAGGGCCTCCTTAAAGTGTGCCATGAGAAAAATTCATTTCTGGATAAACACAACACCTTCACAACTATTACGATGTACCAATATTGAGTCTGAATGAAGATATTTACTGGCTCTTGTTGGGATGTTTCATACCAGTGTTTAAACAAGAAACAAACAAACAAACATAAAAAATAGGAGTTATTGATTTCCTGCAACAGAAAATGACACATTTTTCAAGCCACTCAACACTTTGTCCTCTTCCAGTAGTAGCTCTTTATCTCATCGAGTCTTCCAGCACCACACATGCAAGTTTAAGGATGAAAGATGGCAAATGTAACAGGTGGAACCGAGTTCCAACGAGCATTCATCAGGATCTGACTGGAAGGTGAGGCAGAGGATTTGGTTGGCAGCACGTTCCAAAGCGTACAAGCATTCAAATGGATGGATGATGATGAACAGGAGGAATGTGATGATGACTATAAGAAGATAAAAATGATAGTTTCTCCAAGTATTTTGGTTGCCATGGCTACCTCATCCTCTGGTATACACTGAGTGTTGGGAAAAGATGCGTCAACATCGGCCATCTTCCTCCTCTTTATGGAGCCACGTGATACATCTGTAATGCTCTGAATCTGATCCCAATCAGCCAATTCAAACACAGGGTTACAGGTTCAAGATTATTCTGAAGTTCTACAGTGAAAAAAGAACAGCGGTTCAGCAGCTATGCTAATCCTTTAGTTTGTTTTAATTTCTCATAGTGATGTTTTACCATCTGATATAGATATTACGAACACCATACCTCTCTCTCCCGCTCCGTGCGGGACAGCTGCATCTGTTTAAGCATCTGAGACCTCTGCTCCATCACCAGTGTCTTCTCGTACGTGAAAGCTGAGATGTCACTGTCGTGCTAGTCAAACAAAAAGGCAAATGAGCTATCAGTGGCTGCCAGCTTAGATCAGCGTCATTGAACAAGAATCAGTAACTGTCTCACCATCTCCACAACCTCCACCTCAGCGTCCAGGCGTAGATGGTAAATAAACATCTGGAGATCCTTTTTCATCTGGATGGAGTTGTCGTCCATCTGAGCCACCGTGAAGATTCGCATTTTGCACTTCCTCCACACCTGCAAAGACCTGCGTCAGTACCAGCTGCCCCTGCTGGAGCATCCAGACTGGGAAGTTCCTCAAACTAGCCTTCAGCATCACAACATCAGCGTCATCGCTCGTTTTATTAAGAATGTTAAGAATGAGCATCAAGTAGAAGACAGTTTTCCTACAACGCTGCTCAGGTTATGGCTTCTAAAAACTGGAAAGAAGACACACCTTGTGCTGAATGAGAAGAAAAGGCAGCAGCATGAGCAGTCCGCCGTCATGCACTATCCACCACACATCGATGGTGCCCTCCTTCAGACGCTCTTGGTTGCCGGGGAAATGGTCGATGTTCTTTGCCACCAGCAGGGCTTGATGAGCCGCCGTTGTCTCTCTCACCGTCTCTGCAGGGAAACAGAGAGCTGTGATAATCCAGGGTCCTCACAGACGCTCCTCTGTCAGGGCTAATGTCTCTCTGCTGTAAAGCACTCTTCTATTTTACACTTCATTTGACTGTGAACAAGCTGAAATCATGCTACTTTTGTTCTCGTTTTGATGGGAAAAAAGTGACAAAAAATAAATGATAATTTCATTAAACAAAGAAAAACTCATCTGGAAATAAGTTTCCTAATTTGTACACATGGTTAGAGATAATAATGTGTGAACCTATGAAGTTCCTCCTGGCAGAGGAGTCCCTGGCTTGTTTCCATCCTGCTGGCCAGTTCATCAGGACCGCGTTGTGCTTCATTCCTCCCAGTCCCGCTGACTGGATCAATATGGAGAAGCCATCTCGAAGGTTGGATGACACCACCACATGAGAGAAGCCCTTGGTCCGCTCTGCAGCCATGGCAGATTTCAAGTTCTGCAGGTGCAGAAAAGGAGGGTCGGTAAAGAAACAGAAGGAGCTCCAAACCATGAAAAGTCATCAATCATGGACCATCATGCAAGTCTTACTCACTTTAGAAAGATTACACTAAAGTGTGACTGAAAAAAAAACGTTACATTTAACACAGGCGATTATTTCTACATGCAGATGAGACCAAATGGACAAACCTCCTCTCCAGTCTTGGCATCCTTCTTGCAGGTCATGTATGTGCCCTTTAGAACTGAGGCCACTATGGTGAGTCCCTTCCCTGCTTTGAGCTGTGAGGTGAAGGACAGGAGACGAGGGTGTTTCACGGCCAGCTCTGAGTCCAGCTTACACAGCACCAACACCTGAGGCCTGAGGAGAGACACAGGCAGAGAATCATCCATGTTGGTGGAATACCAGGGGCACGGAACATAGGATTCATTACATTTTCAGTCCAAAGTTCATTGCAGAAAAGAGAGCAGCCTCACCTCCAGTTTTTGGTGTGCAGTGGCGCTTCCTCCAGGCGATTGAGGGCATAGCGTGCTGCATTCAAGGACAGGCCTCTGATCCCGTCGCCCCATTCTTTCACTGCCCTGCGTCAAAACACCCAAATAAGAAGGGTTACTTCAGAAGTTGGTCAAATATTTATTATTGGAGCACAGAATTAAGTGATTATGAGACACTGATGACCCATTCCTGGGACAAATCAGAGGATATTCGAAATAAGTCATAAAGAGTTAACATTGTTTTAAAAATTAAAGAGCTTAATGTCATTTCTAATTTGAACTCACCCTCTGTATTCAATGTATTTGTAAATACAGCCGGCTATCACAATGGCCACCAGAGCGTAGTACCAGGAGGAGATGAACATCAAGGAGAGACAGAGACTCATCCCTAAGAAGGACAGAGTCCTTCACGAAACAAACAGGCTTGCTGTTACATCCTTATTGTGACTCACAAAGTGTCCCAGAGTTACTGAGGACCTGTTCTCACCAGTGGTAGAACTTAAAGCGAGGTCTCCAGTTTGGGGTCCGAAGCAAAGTCTGAACGGCACAGGCCAGGTTGACAAAAAGGTAGCACATGAGGAAAAACCTAAGCAGACGAACAAAACAGATTATCGAAAGATGCAAAAATCCATATTAAGAAGTAACCTACTCAGATGGAGGGCTTCCGAAGATCTATGTTCTATGCTCTGTGTACAAATACACTATTATTGTTGTTTTTCATTTGGGGATAACTGAATTAAATTCATGATTTGATGTTATCTTCTCATTTCCTTTGCCTGCCAACTTGTTTTAAATGGTCACTATTTGAATTTGTGTAAAATCAAATCATAATGACATGAACAAAATTAGATTGTAACTGGATTGAATTAGACTATGTTTTTAAAGTTTCTTTAGATGATTTAGTCGTGAATTAAAACAGCAAACATAAAGTGCTTACATGGAGAGGATGGGAGCCACATCATCCAGAGAAGCAATGAGTATTCCTATTTCACAGATCCCAACTGTTAGCAGAAGAGCCCAGGTGGGCTCGCCGTTGGCCTTTCCATGACCAAAGACCTGTGACAAACAAACACAAAGCTCTCAGTAAAAATGGAAATAAGTCACAGTCCTATAAACCAGGTCACAGACGTAGTGCCTGCCAGATCTCCACCAGGTTTTGTTTATTTTAAAGCTATATCACCTTTCCTGATCTTTTATAGCATATTTGTTCCTACACAATTCCTGAAAGTAACTGTGGCACAGGACATAGTTGCATGAGAAGCAGGAAGAAGCTGCAAATAAACTGTTTTATATGCAAATGTGGATGTAAAACTTCTCATACTATTCTTACTTTCACATTTGAGGTACGCACATCTTTGCAGAACTCACCTGTAAGAATGGGATGATGCCATCCCGCGCAATGGCCTGCAGCAGCCGGGGGGCGCCGGTGAGGCTCTGAAACCCCGCACCACAGCAGGAGAAGAAGGAGCCAATCACAATGACCCAGGGTGATGGCCAGGCCAGAATACCAATTACAGGGTTGTTCTTCACTGAGTAACCAAATCTGGAAGACCCCAAATTATACATTTGGCTTTCTGTACATGCAAACTTCACACAAAATATTGTTTTGGAAACATGAGTGAAAAGAATGAACAGTTAAACCTCAGCTTACTTGTCTCTCAGCACTACGCCTTCGATACAAGCTCCAAACAGCACCACAAAGGAGATATCTAACCATGAGGTTAAGATGGTAACACGGCAAATGAAAAACAAAAACAAAAACAAACTGATCTCCAAGAGTTTCAACCCACACAGACATGAACACTTCATCTCCAGCCATCCATCATAAACAGTCCAGATATCATCTTATTCCCACTTATGGGCTTGATTTGAAGATATCGGAGGATACAGATGAAAGAGGTGGTGAGAATAGCCAGTATTGTTCCAACTGGAATGGACCTTTGGGCATCTCGGAGATCACCAGACCTGTTAGAACCAGCCATGATACCTGAAACAAGAGACATTTTCAATCAACAAACATCAAGGCATCCACCTCACAAAGCATGAATTAAACTTTGAGGTCAGTTTCTGCCTTCATTTATAACTCATTTCACATCTGAGGTCCACACATACCTGTGACCGAGGGGAAGTATATTCCCACCAACAGGGTGAAGTAGGTGGTGATGTCGCTGACAAAGTAGTTCTGGACTGTGCAGTTGGATGTGTTCTCAGTTATTAGTGCAGGCGGTTTTTCTTTCTCTATCACTCTCTTTGCCGGACCGTAATTGCCCCATAAGTTATCTAATGGGAGAAGAGACAGGGGAAATATGAAACCTCACATAATGATAACTGCTTCAGAGTGCAGAAGAAAAGGGGAGAATTTAAACCCAAGCAAACTTTTGATTCCACGCAGCCAAAAGCTAAAGCCTCTCTTCCTGCTGGACTCTCACCCTTAATGACTCCGCTCAGGAGCCCTGGGATGGCCCGCAGTTCTGTCAGGTTGTTCTGGGAGAAGTATTCATCAGACTCTGGGTCACAGAGGAGGGTTTTGGCTACTTCCGCCTTCGAGCACGTTTCAAACATTTCGTTCTTCAGAGAGCGATTCCCCAGCAAACAGACACTGCAGAGGAAAAGAGGTGGAGAACGCATTATGCAAATGGAGTTTCGGTCCTCAGGAAGCACATTCACAAAGTTTGGTTTAGTTTAAAATTAACATTCTCTTAGGCACGTTTCTTCTCACTGTAAATGGACATGCGTGCTGTGGCCAAGGATTTCTGCTTAAAATATGGGGTGAGGTTAAACAGCCATAATGCTACTACATTTGAATGCGTTGCTCTTTATTCTTGACACACATGCACAGCAAAAAATAGATAAAATTTGCTCCCACAATCAAGTTTTTCCTCCTGAAAGCTGACTTCTAAGGTTTGCTTGTTAGAAAAAAAAAACTGGGTCGAGTGAATTGTGTTTGTGGGATTACAGTCCAATGACGGCAGAAAAGCATTGCATTTCACTTTTAGTGTGTCTTTTTACTAAACAAAAGCCCCACATATGTGCCATTTACTGCTCTCGGTCACTTACTTGAAGTCTGGTGGTTCAATAAGTGTCTTAATGGCTCCTGCATACGTGGCCAAGATGGAGAGACATACACAGGAAAGAAACACCAGAGCCAGTTTGTTCACATACCTGCAAAGACAAGAGGAACAGAAATGAGCCTGTGAGCGAGGGAGTGATGTTTTCTCGCATATTTTGTGTTCAGATACTCACTTGACCCCAACAAACACCACCAGGGCCATCAGCACCAGGCAGCATGTGCCGTAGACACGCATGTCGTTGGGAACTGGCTCACCATCATTGTCCCTGAAGAGTGTGGCTGAAGGGACGATGTACGTCTGGAGGCAGACAAGCAGCAAAACGGATCAGATGAGTTCTGATTGGGCAACAGATGTGACCAGAGCAGCTGATTTGAAGGTAACATACCAGCAGGATCTCAATAGTGCCCAGTATGTACAGGGATCCAGCAAAGGTGGTTCCAAGGTACAGACAAATCCCCACTGCTCCTCCAAATTCTGGACCCAAAGATCTGGAGATCATGTAGTATGCGCCGCCAGCTACAAAGAGACGCCATCTTTGTTAATCTCCAACAAAATGCCTCGGTCCTATTTTCAGCTTTATTCATGACGAAATTGGGTAACCAATCAGGTTCAATGAAAATAGATCACTGCAGGTGCATTTGTAAACTTCTGTGCCTACACAGCCGCTAAAGGGAAGATAAAAAGTGTCATCTGATACCTGGCACAACCCCGTTGGTGGCGATGGCGCTCATGGATATGGCGGTGAGCAATGTCTGCATGGAGGAAAAGAAGAAGAGTTCAGATGAGAGAGTCAACATGAGATCAGAGGTACTGTAAGGCCAACAGAAAGCTGCCGTTTAAATATACAGGCCCAAAGATTATGAGACATTGAAACATCCCCTGTGTGTGCATATAGTTCAGTTTTCAAATGAGAGGCAGCAACAGGTGAATGTTCATTAAATCAGCATCCATGATAATGTTCAGTGTATTTCTACACGGAGATGCCCAAATTAAGTCAATTCAGGTTGTGTCATTCAACAAAAAAATAGATTGTGCCAACATAGGTCAATGCTCAAAACAGAAATCCAAAGGTGGTTTTAATCTCAAACATCCTAAACCTGATTTTAAAGCTTCTTCTGCTCTGTTCAGTCTTTTCTAATGAGATATGAAATTGCACCACAGCTTCTTCTAATGTTCTGTCAGTTACTCACACAGACGCAGCACATGGAGACGATGGCAAAAGAACCCAGGATTCCAGCAGAGCCAACAATCCATGTGAGACGCAGAAAGAGAATCACACCCAGAATGTTCTGCATGCAGGGGAGGTAAACCCCGATGAAGGTTCCCATGTGGGGGACCTGGAGATAGCAAAGATAAACAGGAAAGAATCAAATAAAAGGAGGATGGTGTTGTTTTAACTCATGAAAGTCTACATTTCATAGATTGAGAACTAAACAGTCTCATCCAAAACAGATTTTTTTTTTGGTACCAATTAAAAAGCAAAAGCTTTAATCTGCATAGAACATTAACAGTAAACTTAAAGTTCAAACTTGTAAATTGTGATGACGGAATATTATTTTGTTAAAAATGAATGAAAACTTGAAGTTTTTTGTCTTGTATACTTCCTGCTATGCACTCAAACTACATTTTAACTGGATATCTGTGTAATGTGATGTGCATACTCCAACCTCAGTGACAGAAAAGCTACATAAGGACCTAAACAGTTAATCATAAGCCAAAAGTGTACACTATCACCATTTTTTGATGGATGATCAGAGGTTCATACCATGACAGCAGCCCTCCTTAACCCATCTTCAGCCTCCTCATGCTCACGAACCCCCTGAGAGAGGTTTGTGTAGTTGGCTAACTTGTTGAGAAGAGACGACACCATGGGGGCGCTGTCCATTTCCTCCTGAAGAAAGAACAGAAACCAAGCTCACAAAATCAGAGCTCTTGATCAAAATGAAAAGGTGCGACTACATATTGTTTAGGCTCAACAACACAAACTTAGGTGTTGATTAACAATATAAAAAAGAAAAACAAAACAAACATGGTCTCTTTGCCTGATCTAAATATTGGGATTTTAACAGACATTCTGAATCTTTAGTCGGTATTAAAAGGCCATAATTCTTGGGCCCTTTTTCAGATTTACAAACAACTCTGTGGGTGTATCGGTCTAAATTAGTGAAAAGAGAAGCCGATCAACTTTTTGTTCAAATCACCCGTGACCAACAGTGTGCTGACTCTCTGTTTAGTTCTAATCTTTTCTTTTTTATCCATCTATCTAACCACTATGCAGCCCGGTACCAACACAGTACCAGAGTTTTCATGTAACCCCTGTATATTCTATTAGACCTTGTTTTTCTTTATGATCTTGATGGATTAATTCACAAAAAAACACATAATACTGTACATGTCTTTTTTTTCTTACCTCAAACAGGGCCATGTTTTTTCCCTCGTAACTGTACTTTCGGTCATTGTCTGAGTGGATGAATGGACTGGACTCCCTCCGGTGGTCATCTCCATCTCCAGGGACACACAAGCAAAAGAACTTAATAAAGCAAGGTCTCTTTAAATCTTAGTTGCAGAAAGTGGTGACACAGCAGAGTGTGTAACTCTACAGGTTCACTGAATACCTGAACTAAAAACAAACCTCCTCAGCTGTCTGCACAATATAATGTGTGGCCTGTTGAGCCAAAAGACCTTCGAACAAGTTAATAGAACGATCCGAAACATGAAGCAGCTCACAGAAAGCAATCTTAGAAAACGATGGTATGAAGAAGATATTGTTTGTACTGTTATCATCTTGTCTAATCAGGACATGGTGAGTATCTTAGGGCATTTGTCCTTCTGAGCACAGCAAACTACGTCACATATTCTTCTTCCAAGAAAGGGCATAAAAATGTACCAGTTTATTGCACTAATAGAACTCTTGGGGATTTAAGTGGAAGTTGTCAGCACAATCCATTATAGGAAGTCAATCCTGAGGTTTTTATCTTGTTTTTTTTACTTCTTATAGTAGTTGTAAATGAAAAACAAAAGTTGACATTCATGAGGACATTTACAAGATCTAAAATGTGAAACTACACTTTGTATTATACATATCAACATGTTCATCTGACTGAACTCGTACAAACCCACCTTTCAACCAGGCGGCGTTCATGCTCATATTGTATGAGTAATCAGATTTATATCATATCATATCATATCATATCATAGTGACCAGACTCACCTGCAACTGGGAGCAGACAGTAAAGCCGCTACACAAAACAAAAAACCAGTGACAACAATACTGTTTGTGTGTGGCCCATTTGGAATATACAAGGTCTTTAAAATTTTCAACAAATTGTTTTATATACTGCCACCTAAACTGTCGGTCATTTTGACTACACAAACTATTGTGCCTTTCTAACAGTAATTGTTCAATTAAATGGCTTTAACACAATTTCATGCATGTCATGCATGGATACATAATCAGTTGCTCCACATTAGCTCTCAAATCATGATTAATGTTCAGCTGGTAATGAACTGCACTTTACTGACATAACTTGTCAAGATGGAGTGTGTCTGTTCACTTTTTAAAAATGCATTCTCAGCCATTCTGTGTGCGATCTGGAGCTGTCTTCACGTGCCTGTAGTTTGGCATTGGGCTCAAAGTTTGCCTTCCAAACGAAATACTGAGAGCTGCGAGTTAGTGTGTGTTTGCAAACTTGGGATTTCATTCTCAGTCCATTAGCTTTAAGGAAAACAGTTGACTTCTGGGGCCCTGCGGGGGGGGGGGGCTCTGTTGGAGGAACAGAGGCAGTGGTGGCTTACAGATGAGGAGCTGCTGGTCAGTCTCTGGTTTCCATAAACAACACACATCACAGCAAATGTGAAGCACAGCAAAGCCGGCATGCTTCCCGAAGCTGCATTTGCCTTTTTTTTTTAATGCAAATAGCCAACTTTAATTAAAAAGACAGATTAAAACCTTTCCAATGGCATGTGAGCTGCTGTTTACCTGGCAGTCATGTAGAATCTGACCATCTTTTGCCTTGTTAGCCACATTTCTTCGCTATCAGGTGAAAGACAATTTCAGTCAGTGAGCATTTGTTTCTGTAAGGAGGAAATGAGCTGCACCTTCTAAAGCAGCTCAGATCAAAGCACTGGAAATGTGTGCCTGCATCCAGCTGGGCTGTCCACAGCAATGCCCATTAGAGCTGCCCACACGTCCACTACAGGCTCACCTGGAGGGGGCCTGAATGCTAAACACTTCCTCAAAACACTGAAACCGCCATGCACAGTGTCCCACATCTGCCACTTCCATTACATGGCAGGTATCCACTGTATCTTTGATATATTCAAACTTTAAATGCATTCTCAGTGTCTTACACTGCATATGAAGAGGAGAGCTGATGTTTGTACTTAGCTTTAAGTTCAGCACAAAAACTGTCTGAATCTGCATTTCTCCGCTATCTAAACAGCCTGGTTACTCTTTTGAGTTTTCCACTCTGCTATTTCTCCCTTGACTCTGCAATTCTAAACATGGAGATATCACCTTACAGCATTACCATGACAAGGGGAGGATCCTCCTCCCAGCCACCTCAGTCAAGCTGCTCTGCAGGTTCTGGCCGGCTGAAGCCTTTGAGCTGCGTCTTTCTTTCCCCCCTTGTGTCAAGAATTAGCCTGCCAAACTGTTTGTGTCAGCACGCTTCCGTTCTGTGCGTGTTTACTCCTGCAGTGGATCACTGAGTTCATCTGCCTGCTCGCCCACTGGGTCCTCCTCTGTGGGAGGACTGGGATCGCCACGCTGGTGACCCTGTGTCTGCACACCGACAAGTCTAAGCAGATATTTGGTCTCTGATTTTACTCCTACCTGTGTGAGGTTCCTGTGAGTTGTCCCCATCCTGTTCCTCTTTGAAGATTTTGCTCACATTGGCTACTTTGCTTCCTCCTGCTGCAGTTCCGCTGGTTCCACTGGTTCCACTGTCCTCCACATCCTCCACCGGCACCACAGTGAAGTTTGTGGGCATCTTGCTTTTTTCTTTTATCCAAATTCACCGTTTAAAGATCAAACCTGTGATGATAGGAACTGCTGGACTTTCTCTCCCTTAAATAATACACTCGACTGTGTATTCAGTAAAACCCTGAAGTTGTAAAAACTCCAGTGAAACCACAACACAATTCTCACTCCACATGTTTTGTTTCCCTACTCTTTGTGGAGTCCTCTAGACTCAGAGTGAAAGTACCGCCTCTTGCCCAGGAGGCAGGTCAAAGTCCTCTTGTTCATTCCCTCACTCGCCCTTCTTGTTCCTTTCCCTCCTTTTTCCCCCCACTGCTACAAGACTATTGCCCCATGTGACCCTCTATTTACCATTCAGACACAGCCCAGACATGGGAGTCCTACAGCTCCTCCCTCTGCTCTGACTGTCCAACTCTTTCCTCTCTCACCTTAGAGTTGACTCAACTAAACTAACTCCAAAGTTTCCAAACAGGAGCCCAACTTATCAAGAAGTCCACTTGAGAAGAAGCTCCTACTGAACAGTCATGGCTTTACACACAAAGGCTTCTCTTTCCTGATCTCCAGCCTTTGACTTCCTCCTCCTCCTTCAGGCTGGCAGTTCCCGTCTCTGGTTTCTTCCAGGTAGTCAGAATGGGCGTTGCCTTTCCCACAGCGCATTCTGGGTAGTAGATGTTCATCATAAACACAATGCCACACATTTTCCTGCATGCACTGCAGCAGTAAAGGAAACACCTTGGACGCTGTGAATGCCAGCTTTCCTCTTAATTCTGAGGACCAGCCTAGTTTACAATGGACAGTCGCAGGGGAAAAGGAGTCCCTTTTTAAAACAATGGAAACAAGTAAACATGAACTATGTTCTGTTTGTGGGAGGGCTTATTTTAATGGCAATTTTTATTTATTTCTGGACACTAAAGGCTTTGCTAGCCGTCACCATTCTTAACCTGAAGGTAATTAGTCTGTGCAAGGATGTGAAATGTAATTTACAGCAATCTTTTATTACCACCTTTGTGTAACCCCGTCAATCAATATTACACAATAGTGCGTGCTCCTGGTGGCAGGCAGCACCCGTGGGTGGGTCCAGTACAGCTCCTGTAAAGTTTTTTGCCAGCTAACTTAGTCTCATTTTTCTTTGAGACAACATATTTGTCTCATTTTGTGAAACCACAGCATATCTTAGCTTACTTTAGTTAAGCTTAGAGTTTCTTTTTTTTTTTTTGCTTTGTCTTTATATGAATGGCAAAACAAATCTGGCCACTGGGATGTAGTAAAGTCCTGATGTTTTCTGTCTTTTATCCAAAATTAACAAAAACAACGTATTGTTAAAGTGTTAAGTGCAGTGAAATTTGCCATTGTTCACACAACAAAAATCCCGGTTCATGCAATCCTGCTCTCTTTTCAGCATGTCACATTCCTACGTGCTCACTCTGATTGATGCCTGAAGTGTCTGTAAGAGCTCACACACAGGGAAGACTTTTTCTATGTGTGTGTAAAGTTTTAACTGCTCCGAATCGCTCCGAGAACCCAACGCATTACCTTAGTCTGATTGTTTTGTCTTAATTTAATTTGCATTCACGCCTTTTTCTCATTGCTATTAAAAACAACAACATATTTTAAAACCATCACATAAATTTGCCTTTAAGCTTTTGACCATTTGGTGCCCATTTAAGCTTTAGTTTATTTAATTAATTTTTTCTGTGCTTGTGATTAGTCAGTACAAGAAACAACCACAATGCCTGAAATCTTTGGTTTGTCCATTTATGACCACCAGAGGGTGATGCAGATTCATGGAAAGCTGAACTTACATTAACAATAAACTAAATAAGCTGAATAGATAGATAGATAGATAGATAGATAGATAGATAGATAGATAGATA